GTCACTCTGCAGCCCAACGGTATCCTACCAAAGGCCAAGTCCACCTATGAAGTGGGCTCCCCCGAGGGACATTTCCTGCCGCCGTATCCACAGAACGTGCCGGTGTCGAGTCACGGAGCTTACATGAACACAGAGGTGGGCAGTCCTCAGGAGCGGGTCATATGGAAGAGGGATTTTCAGCTGCCCAGGGGAATCCCACCAAATCACAGACACATCGCCTGCTTCTACAGTCCGGGTGTGACTGTACAACAGGCGCACGGTGAACAAGGGACAGTCGCACCAGAGATCAGACCCAACCCACCATCGTACATGCACCCGCACAACAGCCCCGGGAGGCCGTTCTCGTCATACGACCTAAAGGTAAGTTCGATGTCACCGCTGCTTCTGCTACCAATTTTATACAAGAATTGGGCAAAAATATTTTGAATATCAAGCGACCCCTCATGGGGTTGTGATCCCTAGGTTGAAAAACGCTACATTTGTAACAACAGTCTTTCATTTTGTTTGAGATTACCGCCACAGAAGATACCACTGAGTGCAGATTATAATCCTTGATCATCCACTTATACACCGCTCAAAATATAATGTCAAATGCTACGCAAAAAACACTAAGGAAGTTTTAGGAATAGGTTCAGTACGGAGTATGATTTAAACTCTGTTTTATTTCACATCCTACAGGCAGAGTCGACGGTGAGATACCATTCAGGCTTCCTGCCCACGGGCACCAGCAGTCCACTTGTGGGGGGCATCAGACCCCAGCGAACGGTGCGCTCCTCCGCCAGCTACACCCTGGGCCTGTCTCCAAACATAGGACTTAGACCCAGTGTCCCAGACCATTTTCACAGACACTCTGGTTGTCCCAACCCTCCTTACCCGAGACAGGACAGTCCCTCTCAACCGCGACCCTCCCCAACCGGATCACTGGCCACCAGCCCCCCTGGCACATGCTCTCCGGCTTTTAGGCCTTCACAGCACCCGTCACCCAGACCGCCCCCTGACCCGCCGAAGGTGACCCATGAACAGTTTAAAGCTGCCCTGCAGATGGTGGTGGACAAGGGAGACCCGCGGTCCTACCTGGAGAACTTCGTGAAGATCGGCGAGGGCTCGACGGGGGTGGTGTGCATCGCCATGGAAAAGCACAGCGGCAGGGAGGTCGCAGTCAAGATGATGGACCTGCGGCGCCAACAGAGACGAGAATTGCTGTTCAATGAGGTACAAAGTCACAAGTTATGTTTCTGAGGGCGGCCATGTTGGTTCTGACCAGTAGAAGTCAATCAGTTACATCCATTCAGTTCACCTGGACATGTGCGAACGCTATCACTCAGAACCAAGGGGTGTGTAATAGCAAAAATCTAGCAAACGAT